GAGGAGCCCGCCGCCACCGCCGGAGATGGACGCGATGGCGGAGGAGGAGGAGGAGGAGGGATCGGCGGCGGTGATGGTGAAGAGGCGGTTGAGGCCAAAATCGGAGATGAGAGGGTTGGAGGAGGAGTCAAGGAGGATGTTCGAAGGTTTGATGTCGCCATGGACGAACTTCCTTGGGCTGCATTCATGGAGGTATGCGATTCCTCTCGCCGCCCCTTTCGCAATCCTCAGACGCGTTGACCATGAGAGATTTGGTGATGGTTGACCATTCCTCCCTGAAAAAATTATTACAAGTAGTTTAATTAGTGCAATCCAATCACGTGTAAGGAATCAACAAGGGAATTGTCGACTCTATAACTATAATTGAAGACTATTATTACCAATTTGATATATATTCTATTTCAATTTGAACCCATTAAAGTAAATTTTTATTTTTGGAAAATCTTCTTGGATCTCTGAAATATCACTATTGACTATCCATTAAAGGAAATGTTAAATTAGGTACCAACATTGGACAGCTCGTTAAAACGGAACCATGTTACCACACACACAAAGTTCAAAGTCAATGACAAACATTGATGAACAATATCAGCAGCAAACTCGAAGATATTCATCCATACAATACAACCTTTTTATAGATCTAGGGGTAAAATTAAAATTGAAGAACCCTACCATTTAATCGCTGCCCGTACAGTAATATAATGTTATATAGTATTGAGGGGGGTTCGCATATATAAACTTTATATCCGAAAAAATCAGCCACATTTAAGAGAGAGGGACGTGTGATCTAAAAGGATAGCTGAGGTTGGTGTCTGCAATCATTACTCGTAGCCCACAAGTCACATCTCTTCTCTTCGACTGCCCCCATTAACACTCTAATCATTTGCTTTCCCTCTCTCTTTTCACCCTAATTACTTATTACTTCTCCTAATCTCCCACTTAACCTCAACTCCAAATTCCATTTCTTATTCCTTTCTATAATATAATAATAATACTGACTTGTCAAAAACCTATACATATATATATATATATATATTAGAATTATCATATTACATGTTTTTAGTAAGCTTTGAGAATATCTAAATTTATCTCTAATCTTAACTTTTATCTGGTTTACGTATTATCATAATTAATTATTTGCCATTTACCAAATTTCACCCAACCCCAGATTTCGGATTGAGATTTCCAGAACAAACAAAAAGAGAAAAGGCGCAAACGAAACGAATCAAACCAAAAAGGAAAAGAAAAACGTACCTCTCAGAGCGCTGGCGAGGCTGCCATTGTTGATGAAGTCACTGATGAGAAGCTTCTCATCGGGAGCCCAGTAATATGCCCTAAGCTTCACCACATTGGGATGCTTCACTCTCCCTATGGCTTGAACCTCCGCCACGAACTCCTTGTACCTCTGCTCTCCGCCTTCCCCTAGCCGCCGCACCGCCACTGGAACTCCGTTCCCGAGAACCACCTTGTACACGATCCCCAGCCCGCTACGAGAACCCTTTGTCGATCGCCACCAATTCTCCTTCCCCTCTCCTGTTTGGTGATGACGATGGTTTCTCGTTGTTGTTGTTGTCCTCGATCTCCGAATCGTCTTCCTTGGGGAATCCGGTGATGCAGGAGCAGAGTTTCCCCTTCTCAGAGCCTCCGAGTTTGTCGTTGCCGGTGCAGCTGCAGCCTCCGTCGGCGTCTTTTTTCTTCCAGTACAAGTAAACGATCACCAGGCCGATTAGGGCTACGCTTCCGGCGTCGGCGACGGAGATCAGAATGATCAAGCCGGTGCTCAGCCCTGTTTTAGCGCCACCGTTGCTCGCCGGTGATGTTTTTCGAGTTCCCGGAGAGTTCCGGTTATCGACGTCCTTGCAGGATTTCTGGAGAGGGAATCCGCACAAATTCGGGTTGTTGAGAAATGCGGTTGGCCCCTGGTTTGAGAACGATCCGGTTTGAGGGATTTCACCGCTCAAATTGTTGTTCCTGAGATCGAGAGAGACTGTAACCGGTAGATTTCCTAGGGATTTGGGAATTTTTCCGGAGAAATGGTTGAATGACAGATTGAGAGTACCGGAGAGCGATTTGAGCTCGCCGAGATCGCTAGGTATTCGTCCAGAGAATTCGTTGGAAGAGAGATCGAGCTGAACTAGATTGTCCAATTCCGGCCAAATTCCCTCCGGAATCTCGCCAGAGAAGTTGTTACCGGCGAGGATTAGCCTCTGGAGCTGCTTGCACTTCTTGAGATCCGGCGAGAGGGCTCCCGAAAACGAATTCCTCCCCAAATCGAGATTCTGAATCCTAGGGATGCTGCAGATCGAAGGCGGCAGAGGACCGGAGAGATTGTTGCCGTACAGGAACAGGCTATGAAGCGAAGTGGCGTTGAATAGCTGAGTAGGGATGGAGCCGTAGAGCTCGTTGTCATGGAGGTTGAGACGGCGGAGAAAGACGAGGGAACCGAGCTCGGAGGGGATGTAGCCGCGGAGGCGCTTGCCGGAGACGGCGAGTCCGACGACGCGGGGTTCACCGGAGCTGGAGAGATTCATACAGGAGACGCCGGACCATCCGCAGGGGTCGGCATCGTTCTCGTCCCAGCTGGAGAAGGCGGAGCCGCCGGGAGGCTGATCGACGGCGGATTTGAGGGAGAGGAGGGCGAGGCCGTCGGAGGAGAGAGAGTGTGAGAGATTAGGGTTTTGGAGGTGAAGAAGTAAATGGAGGAGGAGAGAGAGAATGATCATTTTTTCCGTTTGTGAAAGAAAAAAAAGTACAGAGTGAAGGATTCAGAGTGAGATGATGGAAGAGTTGAGACGGTGGTTGTAAGAGGCTCTGTATTTATGTTATTAGTTAGACCTTTATTAATAATAATAATAATAAATAAATAAATAAATAAATAAATAACAATCCATTTAGGAGAGCTATTTTTGACAACTGATGATCGCAATTATATTAAATATATAAGATATAGCAAAATGAACACATGTAATTATTCATTAATCTGATTTAAATTGAGGAATGAAAAAAAACGAAATAGAATAATTGACAATACGAATGATGAATTTGTCAATGGCTCTAATGATGGTTATTGATAATAATAATTACATTTTGTTACTGTTTAACGTGGAGGCGTAGGAGAGTTAAACAGAGATTTGGGTAATTAATTATATTATATGATAATAAGCATAGGGATTAACAAAAAAAAAACAAAGTACGGAAAACGTTGTCTGAATGCAACTCCTTGGGAACTGTTACGGTCTTTCACTTCGCCGCCGAACTACCCCTTAAAGTTTTTTTTGTCACGTGCGTTTTTCTGACGGAACATAAATAAAAGCTTGACTTACTTGATTAATAACGGAATAATTAAACCGAGAACCAAATAATATATTACCCAAATTAAATTAGATATAAAATCAAATAGTTACGATTTTTTTTTAAAAGAATAATTTTAAATCCAAAACAAACTGGATATAAAATCATTTTTTTAAATGGATATTTTTTAATCGAATTTAAGATAAAAAGTGAATAATTGTAGTTTTTCTAAAACCGAAATAATGAATTCAAATATAATCGAACCGAACATGAATCGAAATCGGAATAAATCATCACTAATCTTAACTTTACAAATAGCGATGATCAGATCATTGAAATTCACTAATTACTCACCACAAAAAAATGTTTTTTTAGAAGTTATGGTCTGATGATATAATGCGATGATTACATAAAATTATAATAATGTTTTTATATTCATTGGGTTGTATGGTGGTAGTGTCTCTCCATTCCAATCATTTAAACATATGCTTAGAAGCAAATGAAAGCTTCAGATCTGCTGGAGGGACGGAAAGGGACAATATTGTAATTCTATAATTTATAATACACATACATATATATATATATATATATATATATATATATTTGTATATACAATGAGGGATATTTCTAATTATAATTTCAACTATGATTGTAATTTTTTTTTTATAATTACTTTACACCAAACGCTCATAATGAGATGGCCGTTGGTAGACATTTTGGATTTATTTCCTTGCAAGAAATCGTAGCCATTTGCTTTGTACACAATCCATCTGAATTCGTACCTTTTTCTTATTATTATTTGTTTTGCTTGATTGGTAACCCATATTGTATAATGAGAATGGTAGGGGGGCATTTTATAATCATAGTTGAAATTAAAATTTATCGCATAAATTAAATTAAGCCACACTTCTACAATTTTATATAATCCAAATATAGGCAGATCCAAAAAAGGTTTTAAATTGAGAAACGTCGTTTTTTTTTTCTTTTATAGAAAATATTTTTATATTCATACGAGAGACTATAGGTATTTATCATAGTATTCTATAAGATACAAAAATATTATTTTATGGCATATATCCAAAAAAGTATTCTTTTATGGCAGGTCTCCAGTAGTGATTTATAGTTTTTTTTTTTTTTTTGTTGTTATCTAATTTGAAAAGAATATATGATTTATGTAATGACATAACAAAAAATGAGAACCTCACCCCGGGTTACCCATTTCAAATATATATATATATATATAACAAAATAATGGCCTCTAAAAAAATTGCTTATAAGAATGGTATTCAATGAGTTAAAATAAATTGAAGGAATAATGGCTAATTGCCCATCTTTAGATATTTGGGCCTTGAGGCCCAAATCTTTTAACAAAAAATTCGCTCCAACCATTTTTTTTTCCAAGTCACAAGATTGAGAACTAAGAAAATTGCAGAAAAAAAAAACACCATTTTTTTAGAATGATATTTGGGTCGTGAAATTGGATATGGCTGGGGCATCTCCGACTCAATCCCTCACAGATTTCACTCCGAGTGACGAATCACTCGTGTGAACTAAGATCGAAAAAAAAGACGACACAGAAAAGTTACGAGTTCAGCAACTGAGATAAATTTCGGTGTCTACATCTCGGGAAGAGAAAGTCGCATTCGTAGTTAGGATTACAACATCCCTCACAGATTTCACTCCGAGTGACGAATCACTCGTGTGAACTAAGATCGAAAAAAAAGACGACACAGAAAAGTTACGAGTTCAGCAACTGAGATAAATTTCGGTGTCTACATCTCGGGAAGAGAAAGTCGCATTCGTAGTTAGGATTACAACAGAGTAAGACCACCAGACACCACCGAACGGCGCCGGAATACCGCGAGCAAAGCTCGCTGGACGAAAGAGAAACTCTCTTTGCAAAAGGGAAAAAATAATCTGTTTTAAACATTAACAAGACGAAACCCTAAGGTTCCTTTCTACCCGAAATGATAGAATTATCCCTCCATCCTTTGAGAACCTTTGGTTCATCTGGAGACTTTGAAAGCTTCTACACGATCCAGTGAGTTTCGCCTCAAGACTCCACAATGGCCAATCATTGACAAAGTCGAAAAAGCCCCTTAGCAACTAAATACCCTTTTTGCTTCCTAATAAGAGAAAGCATCCTAAATTCCCAATGGGTTCTTTTGTGTGAAGAGCATTACACACAAAAATAAACTAGATCGTCTAAGAACGCTTCGATCCGGTAACATTGATTTTATAGCCGTGGGTACTTGATAACCACGGTTTCCGAGTATCCGGGATGCAACATTCGTTCAACAAAATTCGAAGACGGATGTGACAAGATCAAAAATTCAAACCGTCGGTTCGGTTTAATGATGCTAGATATCCGGATATGAATAAAAAGACATTTATATCACTAATATTTTAATATATTTATCATCTACGTGTATATTTTGTTGTAATTTTTAGAATAAATGAATAAGGTTTGATAATAATCTCTCTAAGGGATTTATGTTTATATGTATTATGAATATGGTAAAAGAGTTATTTATTCGTAAATGATATAGTATGAATTGTTAAAATATATACATGTGTTTGGTGAAATATATACTTGTATTTAGTAGTGAATTTTAAGGGTAGAAATTCAACTTTTCGCATGAAAGCTGCTAAATTGATACAACTTTTGATGATGTCTCTTGCGGTTTATAACTAAAAACGTCAGAGAATGTTGTGGACACGAGATCTAATTCTTTTTGAGAGATTTTGAGAGCACTTTCGATAATTTCTTGCAAAAACTCTCCCAAAAGCTTTCGTTCATCTTCTTCTTCACGTTTCCTTGTCTATGCGTTCAAGAACGAGTAATTCTAGAATGTATTTTTTTTCCATTGTATCTCAGAATCGTATTCCGATAGTCGTTACTCGTAACATACATAATAATGGTTATAGAAAAGTGTTTACACGTCTTGAAGAGATATCCGGTCTTTCGGTTCGATTTTATTTTCGTTTTTTCTGTTATTTTTTCTCCAGATTTCTAACATATTTTTTATATAAAATTACCAAAATATCGTAAAATCAACACAAAATAATCATTTTTTTTTCAAGATTTTGATGATTTGAGGTATCCAAACACCGAAGTTCATCAAAGGTATGCAGATCGCGGGTATTCGGATATTGCAAAAATAAAAAACGAGATAATATTTTTTAAAAACTTTTGAAAACAAGACCAAATTCGGATATCGCAAAAAAATATAAATACCCGTTGTGCCCACCCTAGTTATCATAATCAGGGAATATATGATTTTGAACAAACTATTGCTTAGTAATAATCCTTAAACAAATGTAGAAATACATGGAAAAAAAATTTGTTTGTAAAGAAAAAAAATATGAAAGAAGGTGAAAGTGAAACTACAAAGAGAAGAAGGAGGGCCTCCTACCAACAAAGAGAAGGGAGTTTGAAGGAGAGGGAACATGGCAAATGGCCTGTCCTCCTTATATAGTCTGCCCTCTCCGACGTCCTTACCGCCTTTTCGTTTAGCTTTGCCTCCGCGTTCGCCCGCCTCTCTTCCGCTATCCGCCTTGTCGCCGCCATCTTATTCGCCAGCTTCTCCTCTGCCCTCGCCTTCATCCTCTCCGCCTTCACCTTCAATTCACAAATCCAAAAAATCGGTTATAGGGGTGTTATAGTAGTTATATATACACACGAGATTTAACTTGGAATTCTTATGTACCAAAGTCTTTTTATTATCATATAGCACGGTAAGGGTCCTTTCGAGTTTTGGTTTGGATTCAGTTTGAGACGTTAGTTCCTTTTGGTTCTATTTTAGTTCAGTTTTTATTGATAAAAATATCCGTTCTTCAAAGAAGTTTTCCCAACCGAGTTTGATTTTTTTGTTTTGTGACAAATTATAACCATTCGATTTTTGTAATGAATTCGATTGGATTACGATTATATCCTATTTGATTTGGTTTGATTCCCTTATCCGCCAAATAGCCCACCTTAAAAATAATTAACAGACACATGATTGAAACGCCATTCAAGATCCATTCATTCAATGGATTGGATTTTTTTTTTATCGAAATGGAATTTGAAAAAAAATAAATAAATTAGAATACCTCCATTTTTTTCATCTCCATCTCGGCTTTCCTCTTCTGGTGATTCTCCCATGCTTGGATCTTCACCTCCTCCCTCTTATACCTTCAATCCAGTATATATATATATATATATGTATATATATATATAATGTTAACACAGAGAAATCTTTTCATATTATCACTCCGAATTTTTTTTTTCAGTACAAAAAAAAAGTTTTTTTTTCTTCTTCATCACCTTGCCATGAACTTGGCCCGTTCGGCTTCGTCCCACGCCATGGCTCGAGCTTCCAAATCATTCATCGACTTCCCCACCCTGCCATCGCTTACGTTGCTGGCCACTTGCCTCTTCGTCTCTGCCGCCGGAGCCGGCTCGATGACCCTCGCCGGCGATGAGACAGGGCTTCGCGCCACCGGCGTCGTGTTTCGGACCGGCGTCGTCGTTCTCGACGGCTCTTGGCTCCCGATCGGCGTCATCTCTGTCCCCATATCCCTTACACAGACCGATCGAATCTCCGTCGCCGGAATATTCTCCGGCGGTTTCTTACTGATCCTCCAAATCGGACCCGTTTCCTCTGAATCTACCTTCTTCGTCTGCACCTCCGGCGGTCCGCTCGGCCCACAGTCGCCGTCTTCGTCTTCTTCCTCCTCCTCCGCCGCCGCTTCTCGCTCTCTCTGTGAGGCGGAGGCGATGAGCCTCCGGTCATCGGCGTTGGAGTTTCTGGGTTTGGTGCCACTCTTCGAGTAATGGCTCTTGTGGGTTAAGCCTACGCCGGAGAGCCATTTCTGAGCGTCGTCCCATTTCGACGGCGTCGGTTTCCCCATCGCCGACCGGTGGTGGTTCGGTGTCCGGTTCGAACCCGTCTTGTGAAACTCGAAGCTGATAGCTCCTCCGCTACCGTTGGAAATCGCCGGCGCCGCCGGTCCTAATCCGTAACATATCCCCTTATCCTCCGACCCAGATCTCATTTTCCGACACAAAACCCGGAATCTATAAACAGAGACCTGATTCAACGGTTCAATCGTTGCTGGCGTTCAGGAAAACAGATCAAAGGAGACAGATTCATAGAGAGAGCAGATGAACAGTGAATATAGAGAGAGAGAGAGAACTGATTAGAGAGGATAAGGGGGAGGAAGGAAGGAGAGAGATTGAAGGAAAAGGACATGGATAGATGATGAAGAAGACGAAGTGAGATTCAACAGCGACATAAATGCCAGATTGGTTTATTGCATAATCAGATTCATCGAACTCTTGCAATTAAACTCAGGCTTTATGTTGTGTTTTTTTCTTCTTCCTGAGAATGGCATTAAAATAGACCACCCAATTAAGGAAAATTAAAAAGAGAAAAAAAAAAAAAAAGCAATCGCATTCGCATGTGAAATACATTATTTTTCAGATCCGGTTGGCTATAATTCCATACAAAAAACCGAATCTTTAAAAAACTATCTAAATTGTACAGAAAAAATGAAATGTTAAACTTCCTCCATTTTATTTTAAATATAATTTTTTTTATATTGATTGGATTATATTAACATTCGCTCAATTTAAAAACGAACGAAACATCTATTTTCTATAATAATAAATATATTATAGAAATCTATAAAGTATAAAAAAAGAACACGATAGATTAATTTTGGAATTCAAATCTAGAATCTACAATATACTGTACAAACTAAAATTCCAAAGTATTTGCTATTTATTTCAAAATTTCCCTCTAAAATCTATATTTTTTTGGGAGATTTAACATGTACTTTTTCCATGTCTCAATTTAATATCTATATTTCTTTAATTACTGAATAATACATGTACAATTGGTTTTTTCCAAAATAAATCTTATACTTTTAAATTATTGGTCAAAAAAATTTTACTGTCAAATAATCGTCACGTACACAAACGAAAATCCTACGATATTTCATGTTTGTCTACGTGGCGATTATTTTGACGATATAAATTTTTTTGCCAATAATTTAAAAATATGAGATTTATTTTGAAAAAAACTAATTGTACATATATTATTCAGTATTTAAAAAAATATAGATATTAAATTGAGATGAAACACAAGTCTAGACGAGTGAAAGGCATCTGCGAAAAATATGAAGGAAACAAATAAAAATGATATAATAATATTCACATGTACGTGGGAAGGAGATGCGGACCAACAATATATATAATAAGTAAATTATTAGAAAAAAATAATTGTTTACAAACAGAGGAATCTCGGAGAGATTAACACTTTTGAACACAGTTTCCGAGAGCGGTATTTTTAAAATACAGTTGTTATTACAACGGTAACTTTAGATGAGATACGTGCCGCCTTATCTGACGAACACGTGTACGGATGAGATCTTCTCCCGCTGTCGGATCGGGTCGGGTCGGAGAAAACGGGTCCGGTTTTATCTGACGATTGTCACGTGGTCCACTGACACGTCCCACTCGCCTGTGGACCGAGTTTTTTGGCCTTTCTTGGATCAATTACACGATTTTTTTTTTTTAATTACCATTTTCAGTTTGTGTTTGTTTTTAATAGAATTAGGAATTATATTGTGATTACTATATAATATACTATCCATGCTAAGTACTAGGGATGGGATCGAGGGTAAGATTTTTCAAAACCCAACGGTATCGAATCGAAAAAATACGATATTTTTTTCAAATTAAATCGTTCAAAATTTTCGAATCATATTTTTTTAGAAAATTAAAATTTCAAAAATCGGACCAAACCCGAAAATTTTTTAAAAACGGAATTTTTTTTAAAAAGATCTAAAATTTTCTAAATAAAAACAGGTAACCGAACCGATGATACATATTTGAAACCAAAAAAATCAAACCCAATTATTGTCGAACCGAACCGGAACCGCTTGCTACCATGTAATTTGATTTGACGTGCCTGTTTTATTGCAATTTATGGCCAACAAATAGTACGCAAGTCAGTCGGTCCAACGTTTTTGGGCCGTACCATTATGCAATCAGAGGGTTATAATGGGTTCATTTCACAAATAGATATAATTATATATGCAGTTAAAGATATAATTGGGGGAAAAAATAATTCTAAAGCACATGATAATACTCATTGAGATTTCGGTGAAAGCCAATTATCGAAAAATTTTCGTTACTCAATCATAAAATATCTTATTTTTGTTAATATAAATATCTAATCAATATTTCATTCGCCACTTCGTGGATTAGATGTTTCATGTTTTTTCCTTGAATATTTCCAACCAATAAGATATTGTAACAGAAAAACAGGAACTAAACCCAACCCTTCAGAGGTCATTACCTTACCTGGTCTATCTACTGTTTCAGAAAGGGATATCAATTCTGTTTTGTAGATCATCATCATCATCATCATCATCATCATCATCATCATCATCATCATCACCATCATCATCATCATCATCATCATCATCATCATCATCATCATCATCATCATCATCATCATCATCATCATCATCATCATCATCATCATCATCATCCTCATCATCATCATCATCACAGATATTAGATAGTAGTCGCTATCCTTGTGACTGAATATCCAACAAAAGCTGTCAAGATTCCAAGCATTCCACCTGCAATGACCTTTTACAAAACATGAAGAAATGTGCTCAGTAACCAAAACCATTTCTCATCCAGATAGAAATATGGTAGACGCGAGATCGGATCCGAGCGAGAAAAATGGGGAGAAAACGAAAAGAACGATAATTTTCTCAACGCTAACGGGGTCTGGATTCCCGGTTCACCTTTGGAATGGATGAAAACCTTCCGCCAAATGATCAAAATACTACTCTAGATTACGAAATATCCCCGAATATCCTGAAAGATTTCTCTACCTATTCTAATGATAAAACTTACAATCAAAATCCGACAAGCTCGTGTCCTCAGATGGTATGTACCTGAGGAGGGGTATGACCCAGAAGTTCACGCAATGGTCTGCTCTCAGCCAAAGGATGTTCAGCCGGAAGTTCGTATACGATCTGATTCAGAACCTGGAAAAATGATGCAGACAGGACATATCATGTCTAACTTCCAACTGTGATCTTTCCAGTAATCATGTCGAAAACATCGAAAGAAAGAGTTAGAACATGAACTACATAAAGCAAAAACCTCGGCTTGTCGTCCTGCCTGCAATCTTACACCGGTTGCATCATACATTACCTGCCACACCCAAATCGTCAAGAAGCAACGACTAAATGATTCAAACTAAAGGGGTTTTTTAGCAAAGTATATAGAGGGATGACAAGAGACGTACAATGGATGCCAAAATCAAGGCAATGGCGAAATGAGATCCATCGAAACCCTCTTGTAAGCCAACCGATACAGCGAGAGCTGTAACTGTTGCTGAGTGAGCAGAAGGCATTCCTCCGGATCCGACGAGTTGCTTCAGATCCCATCTTCTTTCCTTGTACCTGTCAGAATCTGGAAAACCTTGTAAGAATATTCTATGTCTATCTTGATGATGATTACAGAGAACTTCACTCTCATCATCATCATCATCACAGATATTAGATAGTAGTCGCTATCCTTGTGACTGAATATCCAACAAAAGCTGTCAAGATTCCAAGCATTCCACCTGCAATGACCTTTTACAAAACATGAAGAAATGTGCTCAGTAACCAAAACCATTTCTCATCCAGATAGAAATATGGTAGACGCGAGATCGGATCCGAGCGAGAAAAATGGGGAGAAAACGAAAAGAACGATAATTTTCTCAACGCTAACGGGGTCTGGATTCCCGGTTCACCTTTGGAATGGATGAAAACCTTCCGCCAAATGATCAAAATACTACTCTAGATTACGAAATATCCCCGAATATCCTGAAAGATTTCTCTACCTATTCTAATGATAAAACTTACAATCAAAATCCGACAAGCTCGTGTCCTCAGATGGTATGTACCTGAGGAGGGGTATGACCCAGAAGTTCACGCAATGGTCTGCTCTCAGCCAAAGGATGTTCAGCCGGAAGTTCGTATACGATCTGATTCAGAACCTGGAAAAATGATGCAGACAGGACATATCATGTCTAACTTCCAACTGTGATCTTTCCAGTAATCATGTCGAAAACATCGAAAGAAAGAGTTAGAACATGAACTACATAAAGCAAAAACCTCGGCTTGTCGTCCTGCCTGCAATCTTACACCGGTTGCATCATACATTACCTGCCACACCCAAATCGTCAAGAAGCAACGACTAAATGATTCAAACTAAAGGGGTTTTTTAGCAAAGTATATAGAGGGATGACAAGAGACGTACAATGGATGCCAAAATCAAGGCAATGGCGAAATGAGATCCATCGAAACCCTCTTGTAAGCCAACCGATACAGCGAGAGCTGTAACTGTTGCTGAGTGAGCAGAAGGCATTCCTCCGGATCCGACGAGTTGCTTCAGATCCCATCTTCTTTCCTTGTACCTGTCAGAATCTGGAAAACCTTGTAAGAATATTCTATGTCTATCTTGATGATGATTACAGAGAACTTCACTCGCCCAGATCAGGAGCAATCGTGAGGTTTACCAGATATTCAAATGGTTGAAATGAGAGGGTTTCGTGGATTTGTTTCAGAAACAGCTAATGATTTCTAAGAAGAGGTAAACGATTCTGATATCTTTTCTGTATATTTCTGATCGGATTCAAATTCTGGAAACTTGAGTTCGAAAGATGAATCGTGTCGAAGGTCGCAATTGGGATCATCCTCAAAATTCAAATTCGGCGCCCATTCAAAAACAGAAACGAATCGAAACGTAGAATCGCACGCCCATCAAACGCACAATTCGATTCGACAACAGAGCCTGATCAAGTTACATAAGAAGACGAAACATGGAGCAGACATTCTCTTTCGCAGATACATACATACATACATACATACAATACGTATATACAAACATACAAACATACATACATACATAATATATACGCGTACATCACGTACCAGGAGGTGAAGAATTTGATGAGTTGGGCGATGGAGAAAGATACGAAGGCGGAGATCAGAGGGTAATTCGTGAAAACGGAAAACGAAGAAGACATAATGGCCGATTCCTCCATTTCCGATCCGACGGATCTCCTATGCGAAGAACGAGAAGACGACACAGAGACGACGAGAATCCATTAATTAGGTCACGTTTTGGATGTGAGAACCGTTTTCGTTTCTCCGATTCTGACTGTTCCGCGTATTGGTCTCTCTAATGGCGTCTACCGTTCAACTTCGTCGTCTTCTTCCTCTCTCTCTCTCTCTCTCTCTCTCTCTCTCTCTCTCAACAACTCACGGCTTTTTTTTAATAATTTAATAATTTCTTTATTAGTAAATAGTTTTGTTTCTAAAATTTCCTCTTAATTATTGTTGGATTTTCTTGTATTCAATTACTGGCATATTTATTAACTATTTTCTACATTATGTATATCTATATTTTATATCTGACTAATTTTATGATTCTATCCATGCATATAAATATATTTTAAATAATTTTTTATATTGAAACCTTAAATTTTAAATTTACCAAAAAAAATTTCTAATTCTGTTGAAATCTGACCACAAAAACATATTCTTGCGTGCTTTACAAATCGGAGTTTGACTTGGATTTTGTCCTACTTCGATCTAATTAAGTTGACATTCTATTTAACTTAAATAAATAAATTTGTCTTAAAATAAAAAAAAAATATTAGACTTTATTCGATTCGTGTTTCAAAATTAATTACGTCGGAAATATAATTAATTAAAAAAAATAAAAGGGTTTCTCCATAATTAGGCAAACATCAATACTAACACAAGTAGTTATTTTACGTGTATTGTTGTAGTGAGCCTCTCTCTCTCTATACGGACAAAACCCTAACAAACGACACTACTACTTACCCATAAAGTTAAAACCTTTTTTTTCCCTTCTTTCACATTTCACATTTACATTAACATTCTAAACTAAGACTGAGTTTCTTACAAGATCAATCACAATCAAGACATACCCTTCCAACAAAATCAGATCCTTCACCCTGTCCGAAGCTGCTCCTCCTCATCTAAGAAATGGTTTTCTTTCTTCATATTCTTCTTTCACATTATTCTGCAATTGCACTTGGATTCCGGCTTAGGCTGCTTCATTTCATCCATCCTGTTAGGTATTCCAACGTTTCGAATAACGGGTATCCCGGCATTTTCGTCGTTCTTGAGCTTGCCCGGAGATTTTTCTTCCTCTTCTGCCCGAGCCCGTCTGGTTTTTGTTGCTTTGGAGTTGCGTTTAGGAACTAAGTTCCTGCTCCATGTGTCTTTTGTCACGGTATTGGACCTCCCTGACACTGTGACAGTTGGTCTTAGCTGTTCAAATGGCTCTTCAGTGTCACTGTCTATTGCTGTGCTTGCGGCCTTGTAGGCTATCTCGTGAACTATGGAGCTGCAGAAAAGAATTGCATCTGTTGCTTCTTCGAGTGTGAGGCTCCTTCCTTTGCTTCCTCCATGAGAATCCAGCTGTAGGCTCGATTCTTCTGCAGAAATCACTGTCAAAGATTCTAGATTTCGGACTAAGTTTGATCGGGATATAAAAAATATGGGCAAGGTAAATCATGTTTAATCTTGAATGTATAACTGAAATACCCGAGATTTCATGTGGTTGATCTGCAGAGTTTGGCTCGGAAAACTGAAGTTCCTGAAGGCCATCATCACCATGATTCTGTAAATCGGGATCGTCGTCCATACAGGGATTCTTGATCTCTACTTCTGTTTCAGCAGACAGAGCTGAGCAGCTTGCAGGAACTTCAGTCACATCAACACCATCGGTGTTTCTGTCCAGAATCATGTGTTCTTCACGAGAGTAATCTTGAGAGACGTCTGTTTTTTCTGTATCAGAAGCTGTATCTTGAACATCTTTTATCTCCTGGGAAATGTCTTTTGCAGGATTTTGAACCGATGATACCGAGTTTTCTTCGAGCAGAGCGCTAACTGAGCAGCTTGATGACTCTGAGCAGGAGAGGTTATTGTTCTCTGTTTCTTTATCCACTTCAAGGGGTGAGGTTTTAGAACAGGAGAGATTATTTTCCCCTGTTTCGCGGGATTTGGTTTCATCAACAGGAGATTCAGAACATTCTTCACATGAAACTACTGCATTAAGATCCAAAGCATGGAGGTCATGATTAGATACTCTGGATAAAGATGATATACCACTTGGCTCGGTCTGTCTCGTTGGCCCATAGTCGACCGATGAAGATTCAGAGACGGTACCATAACCAACGGAGCTTCTAAGATTGCTTGCACTGTCTCTAGTGTACGAGAGATTTTCAAAAGGTTTGGGAGAGGCAACGAAGGTTCTGCCTTGAAGAACAGGTCCCTTACCACTGACTGACCTCTTTAACAGGACTGAAATTCCAGCAGCTTCGGAAGAATCAATGTGAATATCTAAGCATTCCCTAAGAAGCCGATCCTCGGGATCCATGTCCAATCCGCTCACAGAATGTTGGTTTACCTTTTCTGGGGTGTTGACCTTTTCCTCGCTGCTCTTCTCTATTGTAGACATAACAACATGATTGTCTTCCTGCAGACAGCTTTGCCTTGCTTGATTGTCAGAAATCCACCATTGTTGCATGTTCTCCTCTGAATCTTGTAGCAGCGGATGACTTGCGGGTACTCGGGTATTCACCGCATCAGATGGATTAAGCTTTTCAGAAAGATTAATGGATGACTTTGGAGGGGAGATAGCAACAAGATCTGTAGCATCGGAAACATTCAGAATCTTCCTGCATTCTGGACAAAGTTTAACATCTGTATCTGCTGGACCCACAGCACGGAACTGGCATCTGCACTCTGAACAAATTTCCACATACTCATCAGTAACAGTCTCATTTTCGGCATGGATAACATCAGAACTTTTTAACACTTCATCGCCGACAAGACGGTGTGATTCTACTCCAGGTAAAGTAGGATCAAAACCATTCATATTTTCAGAGATAGAGCAATGACCATCAGGCAAGATATCATGATTCCCCGGCACCTTTTCTTTAACTAATCCCTCAACTTTATCATATGCAAAGACATCTTCTTGTGCATCTGAGTATGATTTGCTCTCACAGTCATCCACAAAAGTTGCAAATGGATCTGGACCTGTAGCGTTTCTTGTTTTCATAGAGGTATCCCTCGAAAAGATGGGATAATTTGAACTGCTTTTTCCGATATAAAAGCTTGAAGTGGGAGCACTTGACAAGAGAGATCTGAACATACTTTGAGATTTACGATGATCCTGCAATAAAGAAAGGATTACTGTTCTGTCTACCAAAGTGTAAAGATTGACAATTTCCTGAAGAAAAGACATAGATGAAGTACCAAAGAATCCTATAAAACTATTTTAAAGCTAGAAAGGATCGGTCGAAAGATGTACTTTTAAATGAACCACAAACTAATGAATAATGCACATACTAATTCCACAAACATTGCAAGCCAGGTTAAAGCAACCGTACAAGCCAGAATACAACATCATCTTTTATTAATGAAGAGAATGCATAATCTATTTGAAAATACTTTATGAAAGTGGGAAACGACTCTTTTGGTTTGAAATAAATACGCAGACAGAAGCAGAAACCTAGGATACACGAGGAAACGTTGATGTTTAGCACTAAGATGGCCAACGGAAACAACAATAAATCATCAAGCTCTTGAAAATACTTGGGAATTATAAGAGTTTATAAAGCCCATGCTGCTAGTTGCATTTGAAAATCAAATTTTCGAAGGAGCAAACGAAAAAAACAAAAAACTTGGAAGATACAGCATTGAGTCAAAAGTATGCGTCTTACTGTGTGACGAATCGGGGAGTCAAAGGATCTTTTTGGAGCAGAACCTGGGGATATTATTCTGGATGGTTTCTTAGATGAAGCCAGATTCCTGTTACTCGGAAAGGAGCCAACTTTCTTCGAGAACGAACATTCGGAACCTCCTAGAGGACCAGACTGCAGAGAATCTGAATCATCATCCATGGAAGATGCAACAGAGCATTTACTCTGGCAGCTAGTTTGATCCCGATCATGACTATATGATGAACTGGCACTCCGAGAAGGAGTAGGTGATGTTGATTGCCTACGGTATCTAGCAGTGGAATCCCTGCTATTCCCAGATGCAGGAGAGGAACCCCTAACATATGAAGCAGGTCTACCGGCAATTGAAGTACGGAGGTTAGGTGGAGTATCCATGAGGAAACCGGGAATATTTGATCCCCATGATCTTATATCCGGGGAAGGAGAGTGTCCTTGGTTCTTTCTGATAGGAGAAGTTCCTCGCCCTCCAAAATTTCGTGTGGCACCTGATACCGAGCTTGGCCTACGCGATATTGGGGTGGAAGACCTTTGGACAGGAGGAGACGGTTTACGTGGAGGAGGAGATGGCCGCCGAGAAGGAGTGATAGAACGTACACTAGGCGACGGATTAGAGCGAGGCACTGAAGATGGCCTTTCCCTTGATTGAAATGTGGCATTCCCAGATCGGGGTGATGGGCTAAGGCGATTTGGACTAGGGCTACCTCTGCTACTCCGGTTACTCTTCTCCATCTGCAAACATTTTCGTGCAAAACATGCTAAAGAATGAGGAAATGCATAACTTGTAAATTCAACAGAAACCAACAGTGCTGATGAATTAACATAAGGTCAATTGACATACGGTGGATGATCTTGATATAGAAATAGGCTGACTCCGAGATCGCCCTCTACTCGCAGCGGCAACAGGTGGTGGTTCATCATCCAGTGAAGGAAAAAGCGGTGTCTCGGGAGGAGTTAACAACCTTCAAAATAACAAAGATCATATTCCTCGTCAACCACCACAAATATCATTGCTGATACATTGCATTTTGAAACCATATGCGTATTGAAATCTAAAAACCAGAAAGACTCTGGATGAAATTAAAACAAATCATAACCAATGACTTTTGCCTTTTACATTTAACTGCAAGCATGATTGGGGATTGTATTGGGTTTACTAAGCAATTAGAGATATGACCCACCACTCATAATCATTGTTTTCGCCATCTGAGTTAAGGAGTTCACTACTCTCTCCCCTGGTTGGAAGCGGGAGGCCAGTTCTGAATTCAGAGAACTGCTTCGGTATAGAGGCTACAAAACAAAAGGGTTTAGAAAGATGACATAACTCAGCCATAATGATCAGAACATGAAATTTCAAGCATCACCCAACATAACTCATGTACTTAAACTTACATAACATGCCTTCGAAGTCGTCAAATGACTGAAGCAAGAAATCCTGCTTTTCTCGGCTCTCCATATCTTTAAACAAGGCAAGATCATCATCGTCATTTTCTTGAAGAAGCATCTCATTCCCAAAGCTATGGCCTCGCTTGTGACTTTCCCTAGCAGGAAATGATCTCAGAGCAGGGGAAGGTGGCATTTCAAGTCACCCACCAAAAAAAGCTTTGAAATTTATCACCTCAACCTCTTCCTACTCTCAGATTAAGACAATACTCTTTTTTATGGACAAGAAACACATCGTGGGTTATAACCAACAGGAGCTCATTTTCACGACAGAATCCCAACAAGACGTAGGCTCAAATAAACACATGAACTAAATTCCCAGACATAGATATGCAAACACACCCAATCTCGTATCCTCTAATTTACACCGAAAAGATAGATAGATGATCGATTCAACACCAACCCACAAGCCCTAACCGCCTCTAAGACCAAAAACCCTCTGAATCAACTGTATGATTGGCAATAATCAAAACCCTCTAACTCAATGCCGGGAAAATTTCAACTCCAGTTAACTAGACAGCAGAGTCGACATCCCGCAAATTTCGCGACAGCTCCTCCAACCAATCGCTGAGAAACTAGAGAGAAACTTCACAAAACCAGGAGTGGCGAAGTTCTCGGAGATCACGGCCTCGATCATTCGAAATGATCAGTTCGAATGGCGAATGGAATACCCCAAATGGAACACCCGCTCGGATCTACACCCATCTGGGCATGTGGAAATACTTGGAGATCGAGTGAAGGTAGTAAAAAAAAAAAAAGGGCGAGGCTTTAGACGGATGCCGGCTCTGGAATTTTATCGGGAATCCTGCTTTTCCCGAGAAAGTGAGAGAAAGTCGAAATCTTCCCGTTGCTTGAGTGTAATGCTGGTTGTGACTTGATCGGATTTTTGCTCCTCCCCTTTACGGCAATCTCTCTCTACTCTCCAGCGATAATATTTTTAGTTCTTTTTTTTTTTTAATTTGTTCTTCTTATTTTTAGATTTATTTCTTTTATTATTATCCAGCTGGCAAGCGATCGTACCATTTTAATTGGCTGAAGCATCTCCATTGGCGTTTCCACGATCAACCTCGTCAGATAATTATAATCACAATAATAACAATAATAATATATATTAATTAACAACATTAATCATAATTATAATCCCCTAATTAAGAAAGCTTTTTGGGACTAATTACAGTTGGAAGCTGACTAAACATTGTTGTTCGGTGGCTCGCTTGAGTTTATTGTAGCTACTATACTATTTGCAATTATTGGCTATTGATTACTAAGATTAGGTTACTAGTAGCCTTCAAAACTACAATTATTGTATATAATATTTGTTTTTTTTCCTTACAAAAAAATAGTAATATGATTTTTTATATGATTATTATATACCAAAAAAAATTCAAACAAATTCAATTGTAAGAAAAAAAATGTTTTTACTATTTTATGTCAAAATTAAACTGAAATTATTGATTATTAAACACCTAATATATCTAATGAATTTTGTTTCTTCTAAATGAATAAATCGGATATGGTAGACCATGTATGAGATCGCTATCTTCATTGAAATACATAGTTCATCCATAGTGTTTGATATTTATTTATTTATTTAAAATATGAGATAAAATCGTGACAAAAAAAGTTATTGTTGTATAAACATTTTCGATTTCAATACATTTTTAGAAGTTTTGATAAAAAAAATTAATAGAATAAAACTATAAATCTTTTGAAGTCAAAACTATGTATTTCTCATGCAATATTAAATCAAAACAAAAAAGTTCTACAATAATATTCATGGAAATTTTGAAATTTAAGGAAAGATTATTAGAGGTTTTAATATTTGAGGATGTGATGATGACACATCAGCATCACATAAGAATAAGCATATAATGGGATAATCGCAGAGGGAGGGTGAGAGGTCCATTTCCTTTCTCAGCTCTTCGCATTATTTTCCATAATAAAATAATATATATATATATATATATGTTATAAAATTTATTTGCATTTTTATTTTTCTTTCTTCATTCCCTATTACTTTTTTATGATGGACCCGCTCTATTGTTATGGAATCTAATCGTCTAAAATTTTTTAACCATATTTTTTTACAAAACTTTTTTTTTAAAAACCGAATCTAACTAAACTAAATTTAAAAAAAAAAAACATAATCACCCATTTTTTTTAAAAAATTTAAAATTATTTTAATAAAAATCGACTAATCAAATCGAAATAAAAATATAATATAATAACCGATTAATATATATTTTTATAAAATCGAAAAAATGGAATTATTCTCAAACCTAATACGAAAGGTTACCGAATATCAAACTTTTATCCCTAATTGAAAGGAAAGAAAAGACCTAATTTCACAATGTTTCCTCTCTTCGATTTTTATATAAATTAAATGGATCCAAAGCAAATAACAATAATCTAAATTTATTAAACGGTTGTAATATTTATAAATCCAAAAAACCATTTAAATTTAAACCAAATATAAAAATGATGGAAAATTTCTTTAAAAATCAAACATTTTTATCTGAACCGAACTGCAATGGAATTTCCGTGAGTTAAATCTGCATTTTCTGCACGGCGCCGCTCAAGCTCATGTTGGCCGCCCTCCGATCTCGATCTTCTTCCTCTCTCTCCTCAATCTTCTTGTCACCACCGTCTCGTCTCGATCTACCATGGAAGCTAGGGTTTTCAGGTCTCACTCGCATCTCCGCTTCCTCGTTTTCTTCTCAAGTCGGCTCGCGTGACGTCACGGAGGTCCTGACGCTGCCTGAAGTGGAGAAGATTCTATCCGACGTGAAAGCCGACAATGTGACCGTGATTCCGATGCAGAATCGGTGTAACTGGGCCGATTTCATGGTGGTCGCCACCGGGAGATCCACTTGGCACGTTAAGAACATCGCTCAGGCTCTAATCCACAAGGTCGTCTCATTTCCTCTTTAAATTTCCGGCTTTACTTTCAAATTTTCCTGCTGGAAGGTCCTTTTCTCGACTGGATTTTAGGTTTAGCTTTAAGCTGTCTGATATTGGAATAATCGAAACAAGCATATGAGATGCACTCCGTCTGGGAATAGATTGTGCAGAATGAATGTCATGCTTGATCAGTGAGAAATTTTTGCTGTATCTTATTGTGGGCACTGATTAACTCGCATCAATTTCTTTGAGTAGAACTGTTACTTCGTCATGGTTTACAGATAAGAAAAGGCCATTAACGATCACGAAAGGAAGCAGATAAAGGAGTGATTTTGATTTCTTACACGGTCTAGGGTTGTTGATGAACAGGTTAAGCAAAAGCAGAAAGGAGCCAAGCAATTAGTGCTGCCTAGTGTGGAGGGGCAAGAAGGAGGGAAATGGATTGTCATCGACTCGGGTTCGTGTTATCTTGTCGCTATTGTATTGTATCCGGATTACTCTTGTTTCTTGTTGTTGATTCCATATACTATATATACCGTCTTGATTCTTGCTTCTTAGCTACCATTTTCAAGACTGTCTTGAGTGGATACAATCTCTGAGGATTATGTTTTTTTTTTTCTGGGCTGAGATGTTCTTCTGTGCAGGAAAAGTGGTAGTCCATGCTCTTGACGAGAAGGCGAGGGATTATTTCGATTTGGAGAACATTTGGACTGCTGAAGAATCTAAAGAGGAGCACCCTGTCCAGGTAGGTATACTTTTTGTGGATAGGAGGGAAGGGGAAGGGTTCCTTAGACAATGAATGGTCCAGTTCAATATGGATGATGACATTGTTTGCTGCTTAATATTAAATGATTGTGTATGTGTTAGAACCCGAAAAGGGATTCTAACGGGAAAATGGTGCCGATACTAGGGAGACCAGCTGATTCGACGGCATTTATCTTAGGAATGTCACCTCCCACATTGATCAAACCCTTGATGAGCTTATTCATCAATAGAAAAACCCTCGTATAGAGGTACATATCAGCCATATAATGGCTGTCAAGCTTCCCTTTTCTCAATTCCAACACATAATCAATTAGGTCCAATTCCCTATTTTTCTAATTCCTCTTGAATCCTTACACAGTAGGCAAATTGGATCTCTTCTATTTGGGATTTGGTAGAAAAATCTTGTGCTCTGTGTGTTATGAAATATGTATATATATATATATATATGCAAATTGGGCCTCCTTTGTAGTGTGAGAGATGTAGATTGGATTCTTCAGCAGTGACAGTGAGTGAATGGGTCTGTGTACTTGTCCTCCTCCACATAGCCACACATTGTTTTCTTGCCACCGGAAAATTCCTGGTTTTTTAGGGTTCATGAGATGATATTTGCTTCAAGAGTTATGATAATATATATATAGTTTACGAGAGTATAGGAAACCGAAGCTTGTATGTATATGTCCCCCTATGTGAGTATGGCATTTTTTGGCGATTTCAGTAATTATTTCCATTTTCCAATTGTTGCAGGAACTGGGAAAAGCTTTCGTGAAGGTCCGCCCAAAGAACAACTCCAAAAAGCCATGTCTCAAAGTGTGAAACATTATCATCCTAAATCTGTTGTTATGTATCATAAAGTACCATTTCAATCTACTTTGATAAATGGCGGCACTCTCCATCTCATGTCTACTAATAAATAATATCGGCATTCTTCCTTCTTGTCTTTTTATCCTCAATTCAGATAATGAAAATGAATATATATATATATATATACTAATACTGCTTTTGTAGCTTACTCTATGTAAATAGCAAATTGCGGTGAGATTTTGGTTTGGGTTTGGTTATATTAGATTTCGTTTAATTTGATTTTTATATTGAATTTGGTTCCTTTCGATTTGAATTTAGTTTTTATTGCTAAAATATTTACTTTTTATAAAAAAATTCGATTTGGTTCGAGTAGATTTAAATTCGGTTTTTTTGGTTTTTAAAAAAATTACATTTAAATAAAATTGAATTTGGTTATTTTGATATAATATTAACCAAATTCCCCTTAAAAAAAAAAAAAAAAAAAATCATCGTCATCCTCAGCTTCGTTTCTGCACCAGCTGGTCGGTCGTTCTTATTCTTCGCTTCATTTTTGGTTGGAACCGCTCAGTTACCATTGAAGTGCAGAACGGCTCCCTTCTCTATCAGACGGGCATCCACATTGGTATAACCTAACCCGAGTATGTGCCATGATGGGTCGAGTGCCTCGGTTAACCCGTAAAAGGTCAAAAGTCCGGGAGGTAAGGTCCCGAGTTTCCATAGAGTACGGTCCACGTTCTTTTCTTGCCAGTAGTGATATATCCCGGTGACGTTCCTCTTCCTCCACTCGACTAAATCAAAGACGTTCATCCCAAATGCCCATCCACAAGCGTCCGGATCGAAATGCGCTCGTATCAACGGGTGCGAATAGTTCAAATACTTATGGTACCTGTGGAAAGTTTCCATGCATGTCTCGACGGCCCCATTGACATTTCCGTTTAAATCAATCGAAAAGAGAGAGGAAAGATCCTTCTGAACCCGCTCTTGGTCCACTTTCTTGATCGATCAACGGATTCGACGGAGCTATCTCGCGTTTCCATGGTCACTATCGTCGCAGGGTCGAGCTTCGTCGCCTCAAAATCCGCCGGAAAACTGGCCGTCCGGGATTTATGTCATGTCCGGCGATGGGCTCCTGTTCGTTTTCTCAGATTCTCTCGTATTCCTTCTTCTTCAGTGTCATTCAGTGGCGGAGCAACAGTTCTCCGTTTCGGATTACGTAGCACGCTTCGGGCGGAGAAAGGGGATGAACGGAGCGAAGGTATAACCGAGGAGGCGGAGAGATTGGCGAGAGGAGAGAGCACGATGCCTGATCGGTTTAGATATTTGACCAAAGAAGCTCCTGATCCTCCCGTTCGGTGGCCTTGGTTCGTTGGTATGTCTCTCGTAACTCCTACATTAGGTTTTGATTGCATTTTGACTCTACCTTGGTTGAATTCTCTGTTAAAGCCATCGAATTCGGATGAATTTTTTTTGCTAAATGTTGAGGGAAAATGTTTTCCAGTTTAGGGTTCATCAGGGTCTTTCGTTTCCTCTGTTTGTGAGCTTATTGAACATAAGATTTCGCGAAGTAAGCAGTTGTCTGAACTGAATTTCTTTCCGAGCCCAGAAGCAAATTTATGACAGAGACCACTCTTCCAAGATTTTAGGAGGATAGAACTAGAAGTAACACTGACTATATTGTTTCTTGGATTTGCATTTACACCTTTGCCTGCCATGGATGCTACTCTTCTTTCTCAAGTATGCAGTCTAATGTCATGGTTTGCTCATGCAGCACTTGCGTTTCTTGTTTATTCATGGAGAGCCGTCTTGTTTGAACTGTCCAACTGGAGAAAAGCTTCTCTCGCTATACTCAGATTCCTCGGAGACATTCTGAAACTTGGACTGGCCCTTGTCTTCCACTTCATCGGCGATCCCATCACCTCCCTCATCTATTTCGTGGAGACTGCAATATACAGTATCCGGGCTTTCTACTCTGGCATTGTGGCTTACACCCCTATCAGAGAGTTAACCACCGTTATTCTTCTCGCGTCATCGGTCCTTGCCATAGGTGAAGCCGTCGCTCCCAACTCTATCAGCAGCCAGCCTTACGTTCTCACACTTGCGGGCCTGATTGGGTATGCAGCCGTCCAGAGCTACATCTCCGAGCCATTCTTCTGGACTCTCTTACTGGCTCTGTATGGCTTCTCACGTTTGATCAAGAAGCGAAACAATGTCACCTCTGCCCTTCCATCCGTGGCTGTTCTTGCGGCAGTAGGAGAGCCATGGGTGCGAGCCATTGCCATGACTGGGTATCTGGCTCTGGCCATGTATCACAACTCGAAAAGACTCTTGGACGGGAAGCGAGAGAAAGAGGGCTCAACAAGCGGTAGGAATGTTCCAGTCCCGTTGTTGGCTGCTGCCTTAGCCATTGGCATCCGTCTTGCTGCGAACTGGGCCGGATACAGACACTTGACATGGATGATAGTATGATGGCTGAAGCTTGGTCTGTTCATGTGAAGCTGATGTGTCTTGTCTCATTGTCTTATTTGTCAGATTTAGAACTCGTTTAGTTGCAGGAGATGGCTTCTGTTTGTGCCAATGTTCATGAACAAAGTGAAAGTCCAATTTTGATGAAAAATCATGGATTAGTGTTGGTTAACCAATGAATTACTTTGCATATCTTTTCTAAATGTCATCACAGAATATGGAAGAACAATCTTATAATAAAAACTTTCTGCTCTCTGCTATTCTGTAGGTACTGTAGAAACCACATTGAGAAGATACAGTGAGCAAACTGAGCTTCATCATACAAAACTCTTGCAAGAAAGCATATCTCTTTTCGCCTAAGATTTGTCTCTGCGTAGAAAAACTAGAGAAGTTGCTTCACTTCGGCCTAATATCAATGGAAATTGCACTGTTGCATGAAAGGGTGACTGTAATCGACGAATTTCTCCCATAAAGGTTTGTACTTTTCTATCCCAATCTTCAGCCATGGTTTCGAGTTACCATTGAAGTGCAGAACGGCTCCCTTCTCTATCAGACGGGCATCCACATTGGTATAACCTAACCCGAGTATGTGCCATGATGGGTCGAGTGCCTCGGTTAACCCGTAAAAGGTCAAAAGTCCGGGAGGTAAGGTCCCGAGTTTCCATAGAGTACGGTCCACGTTCTTTTCTTGCCAGTAGTGATATATCCCGGTGACGTTCCTCTTCCTCCACTCGACTAAATCAAAGACGTTCATCCCAAATGCCCATCCACAAGCGTCCGGATCGAAATGCGCTCGTATCAACGGGTGCGAATAGTTCAAATACTTATGGTACCTGTGGAAAGTTTCCATGCATGTCTCGACGGCCCCATTGACATTTCCGTTTAAATCAATCGAAAAGAGAGAGGAAAGATCCTTCTGAACCACAACATCATCGTCGAGAAAGACCACTTTCTTCAGAGCAGGGAACACTTCGGGGATGTAAAACCTGAGATGGTTGAGCATGGAGAGATACTTAGGGTTTCTGAATTTTATCGGTGTCCGCCCATCATCGTTGTGTCCGGAGAAGTAGTAGCTCTGTGTTTCAGAATCTTGAAGCTGCTTCAGGACCGGAACATATGAAGCATTCAACCATCTGAAATCCTCAAACTTTTGAACTTCCACTGTTACTCCTCTGAGGTTGTCCATGTTCATGGCGAACCAGGCTTTCATCGCAGCATAGTTTATCTCATCGGTCACAAGATGGAACACAACCTTTTCAGGGCTTTTGGAATTCAGGGCAGTGGAATTGACCACAACTGAAGTAGCAATGATGTTGTCGGAGAATACACAGAAATGGTAGAGACTATTGTCCTTGAGCTTTGATTCCACGTAGCTTCTTTCCCTCAGCTTTCTCTGTAAGCCCGTGTTTCCAAACCATTCAGTGGTAAGCCGGACACCGAGACAGTAGAGACTTTTGGGCACTTCCTCGGCAGCGATTTGTCCATATTTGGAACTCTTCTCACTGACAGAACTCATCTGTTCTTCAAGTGTCTGAATTGAGGCTTTCAGTCTCATTATCATGGTTGCACTGTCATAATGGAGCTGCTGGGCTTGGTACAACAGAACTGCCATGTCTCGGATTGTAGATTCCGACTCCAACACCGTTAATGGAGTCCGTCTAGTCGCAGCATTGGACAAAAGCAACTGTGAGTTTCGGATCTGGGCACTGAGATCCCAAGCAAATTGAAGGTTTTTGCTTTCTTTGGCAATCACGACAAAGGCTTTGGCAAGAGCTATCTGGTCGTTCACTTGCCGGGAAACTGATGTCGGGCTTAGCATTTCCTCCGTCATGTTCAGCCCTTCTGCATATTTCTCATGCCGGTAACGTCTCTGCAGGAAAAAAGTGATGAAAGGTTTCAAATTTCACATAAAATGAAACACGGAAACTTGATGCAGATCCGAAGGACTTGGGATTCAGATCTGGGCAAAGTGAAACCCTACAAACTACGCAGCAGAATTCTGGATTAGGGTTTCCATCTAAAACAGCTCTCGAAGTTTTCTTAGTTAACAGGGGAAAGAGAATTGAGATTACCTTAGGAATAGAGGGTCTGGATTCGATCTGACCAGTCTTGCTGAGAATCAATATGAAGAGCATGACTACAATGCCGCAAAGCACCCACCACACTGCATTGGAGATCCTCCTCCGCCCGGGCCTTCCTCCTCTCCTCCTCATTTTCCGATTGTTTACCGAGAAAATCCCAAACCCAGATCTGGTTTCAGGTTGGAGAATCGAAACCCAGATCGGATCAGATTGAAGAGTCCTAAACCCCTAACCCAGGGCCGGAGAATTTCAATCAACTCCAGCTAACAAAGCAGCAGCGTCGAAAGTCGGCCAAATCCGCGATAGCTCCCTCAAGCTCGAGAAAAATAAAAATAAAAACCCACCAAAACTCACGAGAAGTTCAATGGCGACCTCAAATACCCCAAACGGATCAAGCCGCGCGGATCTAGGGACGACTGAGCATGGGGAATCCGATAGATCGAGAGACAGAGAATGATCAAGGAGAGAAGTCTAGACGGATGAAGGGTCTGGGGATTTTTCTCGAGAATCCTACGTTTCCAGAGAAAGTGAGAGAAATGCAAAATTTTCCCGTTGACAGTAGATACTCTCTTTGCGCAATCTCTCTCTCTCTCCCTCGGGCGCTTCACTTGCCCAGTTGTCTCACTCTCTCTCCACCAATAATTTTCTCTCTCGATCCTTTCTATTTCCGTTAAGAGAAAAAAAAAAAAAAAAGGTATACAGTATGATTAGTTTTTTTCCTGGTCTCATATTATTAGGGGAAAAACATTTGGGCCATAGATTTTATGGCCCATTTCAAAATTTATTTGGGTCATAAACAAGAACTAGGCCTCCTCTATTTTCATATGCGAAATTAACGATACTGATCATTTAATATTAACTATATAAAATAAAATACGTTCGTATGTTATTAAAATTAAAATAACAAAAATGAAATTGGCGTCGCCCGGATTCGAACCGGAGACCTTCAGTGTGTTAGACTGACGTGATAACCAACTACACCACGACACCTGTTATAGCAAATAAAGCCTTAATTAGAATGCCAAACTATTCCTTTCTTCAATATTATTATTAAAAGAAAATACTATAGATAACATATATCTGTGGTACTTGCATATTAATCCAATACATATATTTGGTTTTGATGTAGTTATTATATTAGAATTCTACTAAAACATATTGTATAAATATCACAAAGACAGGCACGTATTGTTTATATTCCCGAATAATTTTAAAATCGATATATCTATTTGAATATAAATAGAATTAAAATAAAATAAAGTCAAATAATTCGTTCTATCCTTGAATCAATTCAATATTTCATTATTTTTCATTTCCCTTCGAATCTCTTTAGATAAGTCTAGATTAAATAACAGAAAATTTACTACATCAAAATTTATAATCGAATATTCTATTATTATATCCAAGATCATATCCATAGATAATAAATACGAAATATTTTATTATTATATTGGCATCTATAGAACCCTTTTTTTTTTTGTTAACTGCATCCATAGAAACTTGCACGTTTCTGCCTTTCTGGACCCATTTTCATTATTTTTTTTTGTATTAATCAAAATCCCAAGTTAGAAACCTTCGTGAATTGAGTTTTCAGAACTAAAAATATATAGGGTAATCGCCAAAAAAACTCTGTACTTTTCTCAGGTCAACGAAAAAACTCTATATTTTTTTATTATTAATTAAACTCTATATTATAAAATCACGTACTTTTTAGACATTCATCGAAAATCTCCCGTGAATACCAACTCAAACAAAAATGATGATGTGACAATGACATGACATGAACACTTCATCATAATTATGTTACATCATCATTTCAAACAAAATTTAAATTAAATTAATATATATACATACAAATTCACACATACATACATATATATATATATTAAATATAAAATTACTTATAACTAATAAAAAAATATATGCATATCTACAATATATATATTATAAATTATATTATAAATAATATATATATATATATGCATATTATTTTTTAATATATATATATTAGTAATATATGTATATGTTGTATACCTAATATATATACATATACATATTATTTTTAATATATATTATATGTATATATGTTAGTTATAATTATTTGTATTTTAATATATATAATGTATGTATATAAAATTAATTATAATTACTTTTATTTTAATATATATATATACATTAGTTATAATATGCATATATATTGTAGTTATGTGTATATATATTTTATTAATTATAAATAATTTTATTTTTAATATATATATATATATATGTAGAAATTTGTGTGTATATATATTGATTTAAATAAATAATTTAATTTAAATTTTGTTTGAAATGATGATGTGGCATAAGTATGATGGTATGTTCATGCTATATCATTGACACATCATCATTTTTGTTTGAATTGGTATTCGCGGGGATTTTCGGTGAATGTTTAAAAAGTACAGGGTTTTATGGATTAATCATACCAAATACAGAGTTTAATTGGTAATAAAAAAAGTACAGAGTTTTTTGGTTGATCTAGAAAAAGTAAAGTTTTTTTTTTTTTGCTATTATCTCAAATATATATAATCATTTGCCAAAAAAGGGATTATTTTTTTTATATATAATCATATTTAGAAACAAAATTAATGGTCAATCACCATTAACCCTTTTCGGCCTCTAAACTAGAGACGCCGCCAACCCAACACCGACCACGATTGGACCCGTCAGATTCGTCTAATCGCTGACGTGTCTCGTTCCGAACCGTTCGATATCCGAATAGAGAAGAAAAAAACGACACGCAGTCTTCGTAGGGTTTTTAAGAATTGCAAGTCAAAACGCCGTCCAACTTCACAGCTGTATAAATAGGACTTCCCCTACGTCTGTTTTTCCCATTGCCTCGTCGTCTTCGTTCCTTGTTCTTCACGTTTTCTTGGAGAACAAGGTCCATCGCTTTTTTTTTTTCCTTTTTTGGGGGGCGATCGTTTTTTCCAAGCTTGTTGATTCAGCCATGACTGCTTCAAGATGGATCAGGCCTGAGGTACTAATCTCATTTCATCTTCTTGCGGTTTTCTGCGATAAATCTGCGTTACATCGATTTTGTTCTTCGTTCAAATTGCTGAATTCGATTGATCTATGTTTTTATGTGTAAAACTTGTTGAGAAACTTCAGATCTACGATCCGGTTATCCAACGGTTGCCGCGGTTTTCTAGATTCGTCATGGGATTTAGGGTTTTTATGTCTGATTCGAGTTTCTGAATTGCTCTTCGTTTGGATCTGGAATCTGAGTTCACGCATCTGTTTCACCGGAACAACTATTTCTCATATATCTAAACAAGCGTTTTCGATTTCCGATTCGTCGGATTGATATTGATCGGAAATTTGAACTGTTTGAATGGAGTCACATGTTTTGAACGGTTTTCATTTTTGGTTGCGTTTAGGTGTATCCACTTTTCGCCTCTGTTGGTGTAGCTGTTGGCATCTGCGGAATGCAGCTTGTTAGGAACATCTGCTCTAATCCTGAAGTCAGGTAAGCTTCAATGAAAATTCGAAACATTACAATCGCTCGAAATCGAATTTTATACTCAATCGTTTCAAGATGAGATGCTAATTATCATGTCCTATGCAACATACATCACAATTGTGGAAATCCGTATGTATGAGATTCAAATCTCTGAGTTGGAATTGGTGGATGGATTCAGGGTGACGAAGGAGAACCGAGCTGCAGGGATACTGGAAAATTTCGAGGAAGGAGAGAAATACAAAGAGCACAGGCTCAGGAAGTTTGTCCGAAGCAAATCTCCAGAGATCATGCCTTCCATCAACAGTTTCTTCTCCGATCCTCAGTGAAGAACACCGAAGGAAAACGGGTCTTGAAGAGAGATAGATCTTTGCTTTCCGCATTTTATTGAATAGAATTGATTCTCCTCCAATGAAGGATGCTTCTCATATTTGTCATTTCTGATTTTGTACTATTTCTTCGAGGCGGTTTGGCTTGCTTCTTCTATATAATGACTTTGCCAAGATCCAATTCTGGATGCAATAATGTAATTGTTTGGACAAAGAAATGACAAACAATTCTGATATATTATTATTATTATTATTATTATTGTTGTTGTTGTTACTACTTAAATTGTATTAAGCAAAATCCAAACTAAATTTATATAATATAAGAAAATAAACGAAAAGCAAAATAAAAACATAACGAAATCAAGTTTGGTTGGCTCAATTGATAAGGGGATATCCATCCATACTGCTTAGTCTTTTTCGCTAGCCCATCGTGTAAGTAATTCTTTAAAACACAAACTTTCCAGATCTATAATCTCTTTGGTACACATATCATTTCGAAAATCATATATATATATAATCGAGAAATCAACGTATACAAAATGTTTATTAAGTCCTCTATCGGATAACCCAACAAAAGATTTAGAAAGTGCATGACTTTGTTTGAATTCACAAAACTTGGATGCTAAACGAAGCAGCCGGCAAAGGCAGGTGGGTAGTAGGTACAAGAACATCTCTCGTAAACCTCCAAAATTTCAGGTGAATGAATGTGAAAGTGAGCCTTTATATTGAAATGGTGGTAATCGTATTCCTGTTTAATAAAAAAAAATCAATTTCCATAAATCTAAATGTCTTGAAAAAAAGCTTTTCAAAATGGAGTATTATCAGTATCACTATACTATGGCTGTTGTTACTGTTTTCAGCAAAATTAGATGAACAAAACCAACCCGGTTAACAGCAAACCGAGATTTTCTGTTTTATTTTTCAGACAAAGACAGATAATTGACTCATTGTCCAAGGAAACAGGAGCCAGCGGCCAGAGAGGATGTAGGAGTTTGTTTACCCAAAATAACCTAACTTAATCCTTTTCAATCAAACAAACAAAAAAAACAGAAAAAAAAATCTAAAAATAAGTATATGAATGAACCTCCCTACAACCCATTGTTTCTCTAAAATCTCTCCATTCAATCAAACCCTAAAAAGAGAAAAAGAAAAAAAAACAGGGAAATGGATTCGGGATTGTCGTGGGCAGATCAATGGGATTACACCAATCCCGACCCGCCTCCTCGTTCGTCGGAGGAGGACGAGAAAAAGAAGAAGAAAGACGGGAGCAAGAGCAAGCTCGGTAAGACCATACTCGGCTTCAAATGGATGAAGGAGCTCCGCAAAAAATCTGATAAATGATCATAGTTGTTATCACATTCATTCATCCTTTTCCATAAGTTGTTTTTTTTTTTGTTTCCATTTCGTTTGGTTCTGTTCGTTGTGGCTATAAGTTTTCGTTCATGCATTTTCTTTAATCGATGATCCTTGTTATCGTTGTTATCGTGATTGAGAAGACATAACAATATAGATTGTAACCAACAGATTGTGGGCGAGTGGTCAAGCTTAAGGTCGGAGCTAATTCCACCTTGAGGTTGAGTGTTCGATTCCTAACTGGTGGGGAGGGAGGTAATTTCTGGATTTATATGATCTATATACAAAGGCTGCTCCCGAGCCGGAGGTTTATCTAGTCAACGCGCCCGAAGGGTAGCATGTAAGATCCTCCGTTATAAAAAAAAAACAATGTAGATTGTCCGAAAGGGAAAAAAAACGTATACATCTTTTATATAGAGATGTTTTTTAAATTATATATTTTTTTAATAGAAAATGCTTTTATTTGTATATTTAAGTACAATGTTTTAATATTTAAATTTTATATTAAAAATATTAATTTAATATTGTTTTTCATAATATAAATAAAAACAATAGAATCGAATCGTTCAACTTTCTGGCTCGGAAGATTTGATCAGAGGAACATGATCACAGTTACCAAAAATATGAAACCTTCTGTTCGAAATATATAAAACTTAATATATCGACGAGAAACTATCCAATAGGAGAATAAAACAAAGCTGGAAATCCAAAAAACTCGAAGTTGATTTTTCCAAAGTTTTCTCTGAAGAAAGGCTCACTTCCTAGACTTCTTCTTCTTCGATGACTTGGAGGAAGATGGCTTAGAATGATCAGCACCTGCGTTCTGGGACGGCGCTTTCGAGCCCGGTCCCGTCGCCTGGTTCGGATTCGAACCTGACGAGGCAGCCTCGTGCTTATCCCTCGCCACAGCGCCCTGAGCTCCTCGGATTTGGGCAGATCTCTTGTCTTTCCTTTTCGGTCTGTAACTTGACCTTTCCCTTTTCGGAAGCCACCTTTCGGGGTCTGGAGGCGGACCTGGGTTTGCCGGGTCGAATCCTTTCGGATACCTCGGTTTTCTCTTTCTCTTTCTCTTCACCTTCTCTTTGTTCTTGACCTCCTCGTGGATCTCTTCTCGTGTAGATGATGTTCCTTCCACGGGTTTTGCCCCGGAGGTTTTCTCTAGGTTATCCACGTCGACAGCCTTCAAACCGGGTAATGGTTTTAGCTGCTTCTCGTAAGTTTCAGCTTTGTTAACGTCGACACGAGCAAGCGTTGTCACCAGACCAACCAGAGAATCGATGCTTTTGTGGGTTTTGACAATCTCCTCGTATAAAAGCGAAGCCTCGGCTTCTTGGCCATGCCTGAGCTTGAAGGAAGCAGCCTCTGGCATTATCACACTAAGCTTATTGTCATCCTCGGTCATTGCATTCGACCACCACTTGATCGCTGAGTCAAAAACAGCGGCTGCACCGTTTGGGTCGCCAGCTCGTTCTTTGAGGGCGACAATGGTGGCAACAGTGGCGGGCATGTGCTGGATTTCCGGTATCTTGGACAGTGACTCTGCTGCAACAAGAGGACGGTTGGCTGAAGCCGAGATTTGAGCCCTGGCCAAGAGAACCACCTTAGACTTTTCGGGAAACTTTTCAGCATACTGTCCTAAAAGTTCTTCAGCTTTTGCGGCCTTATTCTCTCTGACGAAAACAGCAGCTTGAAGCAATACCGGCAGAACACTCTCAGGAAACAGGCCTGGCAGTGCGGCAACAAGTTCTCGAGCCTGAGGGAAAGGATTTTTTTATTAGTGAATCGGCATACGAACAATACAGAGGATAAACTATATTCAAGTGGGAGGAGGACCTGATCCATCTTATTTGCATGAAGAAGAAGAAGGACTCTATTGGCATATATTGTCTCTTTATGCTTCTGTGAAAGCTTTACGTCAAGTGCATGAGAAAGCTGAAAGTTTTGGGAGTCATTTTCTTTGAGCCGATCAAACTTCCGCAGGCTGTCAGAAACATCTTTCGGGGCTTTCAAAGCAACGAGGTTGTTCACCGCAACAGCAAGCGATGATTCATCAGCGAGATTTCGGTTAATAGTATCAGTGTAAGAGTCAACGGCTTCTTGCTTTTGTCCAAGGATCTGATGGAACAGAGTTTTGTTACTAGCAATTTAAATTACGAAAGCAAAAGATTAACACCAAAAAAAAAAAAAGAGAAGCAAAAGATTTTACACCTGCTGAACATATGCTAGCTGGACAGAAATTGGGGCAAGCTCAATCTCAATATCATCATCAGCAAAGTTGTCATCAGTAAGTGTTTCTTGACCGATTCTGCAGAAAAGCAACACTAGCATCAGCATTATGAGAATATTCTACATGGTTCAGTAAATCAACAACGAAATAGAGTATTTAAATGCTCAAGGATGCAGATCCAAAAGAAAAAAAACTCATAATCATGTTAGAGATAAGGACATTTTTCTAAAAGAATTGTAACCCCAGTTTCTTAGAACACGAATCAAGATTAAGTATACCTTCTTGCAGCCAGTAATAGTTGTTCTGCATCCCCATACTTATTGTTTTCAATCAACGAACAAGCGGTATTATAAGCCAACTCGAAACTGCTAGTTGCTTTGATCCTCATAGACTCCAATGCTCTTTGCACTTCGGAAGGTCTTCCAGCTGAAACCAAGCTAGCGACGAGATTGATTTCCAAAGTCTCGATCTTTGACTTTTGAAGATTCTGGTATATATCCACACAGGCATCTAATTTCCCCAGCCGATACAGAATCTGCGCCTCCAACAAGGAAGTTGCAGAATCCTTCTCTTGTTTCTTCAAACAAGATAGAGCATCGTCTAACTTGT